TTCTCTGTTATATGGTGTAGCATATTTTCTGTGATTAGTATGATAGGGGTGCTCAAGTTTCTTGCTGTCGTGGTAAGCCTTGTCTCACTTGTCATTGTTTTTTATTATCGAGTTAATCTGATGAAAATAATCTCAATGATTGAAGGTTGTGTTAGCTATTATAAGTAATTAATTTTATTCTATTAGTTTTTTCGAAGACACTCTCACACTACTTGTGTAGATGCACTATAAGTATTGTCGTATTTTCTGTTGGTTAATTTCCTACCATTGAATTTAATTACTCTAGGAAAGAGCAGTGAGATGAAAGAATGTTCATTGAACAGGTAGATTGAAATTCTATCTCTTTTTCTGTAGACGTGCATCTTATTTCTTTATTATATATGCATTTCTTTTTTATTTTTAGTTTACTGTCTTAAGATGCCTGTTGCAATTTTAGGTAAGATATGGTAGTGATAATTCAGCGAGAGGGAAGAAAATGTTTTGCCTTGTCCAATTAATGAACAACCGCGTGGGCTGGGAGTGTGCATAACAAATTACAAAATCTATTGTACAATTTGTTTCAGTTTTTGCATAACTTAACCAGCTTGGGTTGCACCTTCTTGTAACTATTTGACTTTTGAACTCCACATGTAACAAACATGATAGTTTGGATGAATTTAGGGAACATGTTACTCTTTAGTTCTAGGTATATTTTCTTACATTTGTATTTGGGATGTTTCGTGCATTTGTTCATTCTATTTGTGTTCTAAATTGGGGCTTGTATTTTTCTTTTCTTCCCATCATACTGATAGCTTTTGTAATTGATTAGGGCCTGGCTGCTTTGATTGGATTTTTTCTTGGGCTTATGCTTGCAATTTTGATTGTTGCAATCATTGGAGTTGTTATCTTGTGGTTTTATGGTAGCTTTTGGACAACGGCATTTTTCATCATCCTAGGAGGTGAGATGTTTGCCCTTCTGTTTACATTTGAACATAGTGTTTGTATTTGTGGCATTCTCTCTAGATAGTTGGATATGCATGTTATACAGCCTTATGTATGTACATACAATATCTATTTACGCTGCTTGATGTATCTTCTTTCCAAACTTACTAAATGTTTAATTTTATTTGAATTCAGGATTGGCATTTATGTTTAGTCATGAACGGGTGGCACTACTTATCACCACAGTGTATTCTGTCTATTGTGCATGGCTGTATGTTGGGTGGCTTGGTTTGCTGGTGGCTTTTAATTTAGCTTTTATCTCTAGTGATGTTCTGATATACTTCCTCAAGAAAAACATAGATCAACAGAGTAGATCCAATCCTTTTGAGCAAAGAACTGGAACGTATGGTCAACCTGGATTCAGTGACGGATCAACACATGCTTCTTCCTCTGAAAATGGACCTGGACCATCAGCAGATCGCAGTGCTGGGATCCCTTCAACTAGTGGGGTTGATTCTGATGTAACTTCTGAAGATGAAGTAGTCCGTTTGTTGAACTGCTCTGATCACTATGCAGCACTGGGCTTGATGCGATATGAAAATATAGATGTTTCAATACTAAAGCGGGAATATAGGAAAAAGGTTAGTATTCTATAATATAAATACATGCAGCCATTCTTTATTTTTTACGCATCTCTCTAAGATTTTGTATTGTTTTGAGTTATCAGTGGTTGGATATTGAGCTGGAGGATGAAAGTATAGTTTTCTTCTAGAACTCGTACAATTATTTCTTGTACCTGATAATTCTCTAAATAACCTCTGTTTTCACTGATTATCAGGCAATGTTGGTACATCCTGACAAAAATATGGGTAATGAAAAGGCTGCTGAAGCATTTAAGAAACTTCAAAATGCTTATGAGGTGAGTTTTAAGTTTTTTTTTTTCATCCTGAAAATCAAGGGATAATTCTTCCCTAATACTATATGGTTGTAATGATTTCCAGATTCTAATGGATTCCTTGAAGCGAAAAGCTTATGATGATGAGCTAAGGAGAGAGGAGCTATTGAGTGTCTTTCGTAGATTTCATGACGCATCTGATAAGGTATGATTTATGATATTTTAGTATTTAGGAAGTTGGAAGAGAACATTATGGGTCATGGAATCATGATAATATTGACACATCGTGATCAGGATTAATATTCATTAGTATTTGGGATAAGATCCATGGAAAAATAAGGATGAATGTTGTTGTTTGTGAATGGTAACAAATTAGTGAAGTTTTTCTACTCTGATGTATATATGTCTGTGTGTGTATGTATATATGTAGGTAGATAATAATTTTCTCACCATTACTTTTGAAGTAACCTAACCTCTCCGCGTAGGAATTTTTTTATCACTATTGATGGCATGGCTCAAGTTAAGAGACCAGCATCCCAAACAATGCAATTGTAATGACTAATGTTTTAATGCTGATTTTAGAATATTTGTACATAACTTTTTGGGATATGCAGCTGACTTTTGCTCATGCATTTATTGTTCTGTATCGGGAAGGTGCAGTTAGCTGTTTTTCTTTTTCCCTAGACATGCTTGTGCAGACCATTTAGAGAACTTTGCAATTTAGCTTTTGATTTAATTATACTCTTGTCTAACTCTTGCTGTGAATGCAACTAATTTGTCAGAATGGTAGGCATGGATTCTTTCCTTCAGGATTTGCACGGTCTGATGCAGATGGCAAGGACCCATTTGGTGATTCAAGGCGAATAGCCTGCAAAAGGTGTGGTGGTTTTCATGTCTGGATACACACCAAGAAACAAAAGTCTCGGGCAAGATGGTGCCAGGTTTCTTCTTAATCTTTTTCGTTCTCAATCAAGCCCAGCTTTCTTAACTGACAATTGGCATCATATATCATTAAATTGCATAATATTTGTCAATATTGTTATCTACATATTTTCCCTACGGAGTATTTTTCACAAATATGATAGCAGTGTTTTAAGGTGGGGTCTTTTGTTTTAAAGGATTGCCAAGATTTTCATCAAGCTAAGGATGGGGATGGATGGGTTGAACAATCTTCCCAACCATTTCTTTTTGGCTTATTGCAGAAGGTAAGAATCATTGTATTTTTTTTGAGAAGCTTATTGGAGAACACCTTAAAACCTATAGTTTAAATTTTATCGTGAGCCAATTCCTGGTTCCCGGAGATGCAGTCAGAATACAGTTTTGCTTAATGCTTTGAATTGTTTTTACTTTAGGTGGATGCTCCTTCAGCGTATGTGTGTGCTGGTAGCAGGATATACGATGCCACCGAATGGTATATCTGTCAGGTAATTTATTAGAGGATTTATATGATTGGCTGATTATCAGTCTCTTTGATTATTAAATGGACCAATGAGGTATTTGAGCGAGGAATTGATATAAAAACTGTTTTCTCTAGCAATGAAATGTAAAATAGTATAGTTTCCGGATGCTAGATACGTCATCTCTGTCTTCTCTGGTTGTTAACAATTTCACTTGTTCATGCTGCATAACTTACTCATTGAGACTTATGAGGAGATTAGATTCACAAGGCATTGCTGATGAACAAATTTCTTGCAGGGCATGAGATGTCCAGCGAACACTCATAAGCCAAGTTTCCATGTTAACACCAGTTTAATGTCCAAGAATAATTCTGGTAAAGGAACTAGTTCAGGTCAAAGAGGTGGGCGGATGCCAGCACCTAATATCGAAGAAACCATGACTGAGGAAGAATTCTTTGAATGGTTACAAAATGCAGTCCAGGCAGGTGCGTTTGACAATTTTAGTGGCACTGCAACAGAGAGCCCATCACCCAAATCTGGAAATGGGATGAAAAGTCCTAGTAGTGGTGGTGGTGGTGCTAGTGCTAGTGGCAGTAGCAGCAAGAGAAAGAAAAAGGGAAAAAAGCAATGGTGATAACCAGATAATGTTATATCTTAGAGTATGGCAGTATTGCCTTGAGCCCTACCGAGGCTTGAAAAGCATGTGACTTTCAAAGCCGCTATCTTTTAAATGAAGCCCCAAAAATTGAGTTGGAGCCACATTGTACAGCGTTGTTTTTCTCGAAAGTGTAGATTTTGTTGTCCAATAAAGTTTTTGGTAATCTTTTAGCCTTTTTAATACAGCCTTGTACCAATGATTCTCCTGCCCATGATTTTCTTATTGCAAAATTAGAAAATGACCATCGTGAATCATGACCTATCTCCGCCGAAGGAACACTTTAATGGTATACCTAAGAACAAAATTGTATCCATAAGAAATTCTCGACAGCCACGGTATTAGCTTATACCATACCATTGGCCGTGTTTTGACTACATACATAACTATGGATTTCTGGCCAGTGAATTAAATATTTAGTTAGTTTAAAAGTCTTTCTAATTGAGTTCGGACAAAATAGATTTCTAATTTAGTTGACTAAAATTGCTTTCTTCTTGTTCCTTTAGATACTTTTACAATACCCAAATGTTTACTATTTTTGTAAACTACAACTATTTTTCACCAGAAGTAAATATATACTTTAATTCATATAGCTTGTGTTATTTTAATCTTTTAAATACCTTATTACATAAATTAGTTTCTAAAGTGATCAATATGTTGACAAGTTCAGCTGGAGAATAATTTGAACAAAATCGAAAAATTTGCTAGATACTTGTAACATGTTATGTGGCATAATTTTTATATTTATGTAAAACAAATTCTTTCAAATAAAAGCTATAAGCTAATTTGCAACTTTCTCCTCTAAGAAAAGTATGCTACTTGTAGATTTACTAGAATGATTTTTTGTAAATAAAAAGAAAGGTAGAAATGACAATTAATATATTATTTTCATTAATAAAATTAAAACTTAAAACCCTCTTCAATTAAATTTCCTAAAAACACAACAAAAGCATATTTTAGTTAAATCTATATTTAAAACTAATTCTGACACTCGTTTTAATTATAGTAAAAGCTTAGATTAATTTTTCGTCAGCTTTCGAACACATGTACCCTAAACTTACAATTGATAAATTCCGTTGAACCGTGATTAAATTCATAATTCATGAAATAAAATAATCATACAGATATGGATTATGTGTCCAAAACAAAACGAACCCCACTCGGTGTTAGCATTGTATCAAGTCACTCGAAGCCTTGAAGTGTGTTTAACTCACTCCACTCTCCATGGACGCGAAGTCACTGCTTCAGGGTTTTTTTCTTGCACCTTCTTATCCCCTCCCTCAGCTTTCAAAAACCACCATGACGACAACCAACTGCGTTAGCTTCAATTTCAACCACAACCCATGCCTCATATTCGCAAATAGCTATCCCACTTCTTCGTCTTTGCTTCCATTTTCTGTTCACAATAAGCCCAGAAAATCAGCATCTCTGATTGTGAGTGCCCGCAAGAAAGACAAAAAAGACGATACCCATAGCTCCGTACCCCAACCTGACGAGGCCACGGGTTTCTTCCCTGAAGCTGTCTTATTTAAAAAGGTCACTTTTTTACCCAACCCTCCATTTGCTTTTGTCTTCCCCTCTCAGTTTAATTTGATTTTATCGGTTGGTTCAATTTTTCATGGTTGGTTCAATTTTTCATCAGTTTTGTTTTTAGGGCAAGACACCCTTTTGAAGACTCGTTCAGCTTAAACTTGGGTGTTTGTTTGAAGGGAAGGGAGTGTTCCTAACAGTCTAGAAAATCTTGATGTTTTATGACACTCATTATTGCTTCATTGTCTGTGGAATTTAAAGTTAACTCCGTTTATTCTTTATGGGATGGAGATGAAGTTTCTTTTTCATTGATTTCTTTTTTCGGGATTGCGATTTTCAGAGATCAGTTGAGGAAGAAGGGAAGCTGCTCCCGGAGTTTGAAGATGCCGAGGAAAGTGAGTCGTCATGGTTCAGCTATTTAATCTGTCCAGGAATCTTAGGGCTAGTTACTTGCATCTGTATTGTTAGGCTAAAGTGTTCGGGATTTCAGAGCTGAGATTATTTCGTTTGATAGTTTTTAATTTTGATTTACAGGAGAACTCTTCGAAACGCTGATGCTTGAGCTGGAAAGTGATATGAATGGTGAAATATGTACGTAGATTCTTTTTCCTTTCTGCCAGAGAAGACAATTTTATCGAAGTAGAAACTTTGTTACATGTCTTTCGTAATTATTTTCATTGTTTAATTCTTTTAGTTGTTTGTGAGCCGTCTAGTCTTGTATGTATACTGTTGTTCAAATAGTATACTCATAATGTGATGGATCGTTCCCTTCGAAGATTTGGTCTTTGCAGGGTATCCAGAGCTCACAAGCTTTGATCATCAACCACAATCTGTACAGTTATTTTTTTCTTTATCCAATGGCATCTGTTGATTCATACAACATCAACTCCTCCAACCCTCTTCCTTCCAATGACTACAAAGACCTCTTCCACCGGATTGAAACTTCAATGTATATTCTTGTTAAACTAACTAGTGCCAACTATCCTGCCTGACAAACAACGGTGTTCTCTTCTTGTTGTCCAATATCTTGTGAAATAGATTGGTTGTACCAAACCATCCTCAACTGAAACCATCAAGGCCAATGATGTTACTGTGCTTAACCTGCACACAACTTGAGTTGCCCTGAGCAACTATTGTATCTCAATCTTCTTAGCTTGTATCTAAATCTCATTTGTCAACGTTTAATCTTTTGCGCTGAACTTGTAGATGTTTGCCCACATTATTTTATAGTTTTGTTACAATCAATTTCCATACATTCTGATAATTTAAGTTACATTGCGTGCGTAGAGGGTAAGTCCTGATGCAACAGTAAGGTTGTTGTCTTGTTTCCTGAAGGTCATATGATCAAATCCTGGACACAGTCTCCCCACTTGTAGGGATAAGGTTGTGCACATCTACTGTTGACTGACCCTGCTTATTGGGAGCACTGTGTAGGGACTGACGCATATGTGCATGTGCTCGCTTGTTTTCCATTTAAGATGTCATATGGCTTCTTATTATAGTTACCAATCTTCCGTCAATGCATAGTAAAGTAAAAGATCTCAGGTGCTAATCTTTACCTATATTTCAACTGCTCTATCTCACACCACACTGCTTTCTTACCTCTGCAGTACGCCACTATGAGGTCATGTACTTAATCCATGAGAAGCATGAAGATGAGGTTGCAGCTGTCAACGAGAAAATTCAAGGTAACCTTCATTGTTTACTCTGTATCATTTTTTAACTGTTCATATTCCCTGATGTGATGTGGAATGAGTTCAATAGTTTACCATTTCTATCAGCAAGTCACGTTCTGCTGTAGCCATTCCTAAAGTGGCTAGCTGGTTATAAGGTGGAGGATGGTGGTCTATGACAAATGGAAACCTTTATAATTGGCTTGTTGTTTTCTTACTGCCCTTATTATCGAATTAACTCTAATTGTATTTTTTATTCTAGCTTTGCCAAAAGTTTACAAGTCATAGGTTCATAGCTGGTAAATATAGTCTCTAATGCCCTCTCCTGAAATTTCATGAGGGATTTCAATACTTTTGTTCTTATTCATTCAGTAGGACAAGATAGGGCTTAGCAAAAGTTCTGCACTCGATATACTTCATCCTCTTTCAAGATTAGGTAGTCTCTATGATCCATTGAACTGGTGGTGGTAAAATATGTAACTTGTTGAATTACAACGAACAAACAGTCACTATCTGATAATTGGATTTATTTTTTTGGCATCAAACGAAACAACTGCGGTTCCTTGATATGATAGTAGTGGTTTCTTAAAACGTTGCTGCGATCTGCAGATGAAAAAAAAGATGTTCTGACTAGTTTTTCTCATATTGACAGACTTCATGAGGGAGAAGAAAGGTCAGATTTGGAGGTTGAATGATTGGGGTATGAGAAGGTTAGCTTACAAAATAAAGAAAGCTAATAAAGCCCACTACATGTTGATGAACTTCGAGCTGGATGCAAAATATATCAACGACTTGAAGACTTTGTTGGACCAAGATGAAAGAGTTATTCGGCATCTTGTGATAAAGAGGGACGAGGCAATCACTGAAGATTGCCCTCCTCCTCCGGAGTTTCACACTCTGCGGGCAAATGCAGATGATAACGACGATGAAGAATTTGATGAAGAGTATGATGATGACTGGGATGGTGAAGATTAGCTTGATGATGATGATGGTATTATATACGTAGATGGTGATGACGATGATGACATGGATTCAAGAAATGAGGCATCTGCAAATATTAGACAAGCAGAAGATATAAGAGAGTTGAGGACTGAGAACATAGGTAGGTAAGTAGGTGTTATCATTTTATTCTTCATTCTTTTCTTCCTTTGATTCCATAGAAAAATGTACGTAGAGCAGTTATAAACGTTATGCATCTGAATATAGGATGATAACATCACTTGGAAATGATTTGAGTATTAGTGTTCTCGTGTTCACTTGGAAATGATAACATCACTTGGCTTAATGCACAACCATAAGAATCTGTTTTTATTTTTATTTTTATTTGTTCAAATATGCTTTTGAATCACTTCAGCTATATAATGTGAGGATGTCAAAAAGCTTTGTATTCATCTATAAAAACCGCCGCAATAATACTAATCATGAATATCTTAATTATCTATTTATTATTGTGTTGAAACAAATATCATAATATGAATCCCCATATTTATTAGTCATTAGTAGTTTTTCTTTTAAATTTTTAATTATTTTTTGAAATCAAATTTAAAAAAAAGTAAAATTATTGGCAAGAAAAAATTACGTACACTTTAATTTATAAATTTATAAATTTATATTTTGAATTGCATTTATTTATTTGTACTAATGAATATAAAATAATTACAGGAATGGATTCAATAATTTTTCTGCAAAAAGTCACGTGATTTTAATTAATTTTTATGGATTGAATGGACAATTTCATTTAAAAAAAATATAAAATTGAACAAAGTTAATTAAAATTATTTCAGGAAAAAGTTAAAAATAAGTAAAGTTAATTAAAGTTACTGTGTCTTTTTCTCGGAAAAAAATAGTCACTTTTCTAATAATCATCGGGTAATATTGATTATCTTTTACTTGTTTTTTTTAGGTTTAATAGGTTCGGAGGTCCCTATATTTGCAGGTTTGTTTCACTTGGGTCCTCCAATTTTAGAAGTGATCAATTAGGTTCCTAATTTAACAAAATTGAGTCAATAATACCTTTTTCGTTAAATGTATTGGACGTTGTTAACTTTTTAAATTTGTGGCATGCTGAGTCATCATTTTATTTGCAGGTGGCAGAGTTTGAGCTTAATACGTGGCAATTTCTGCAATTTTTAATTTGGATTCAGATTCTCTTTTCCTTTCTAATCCTAATTGTTTAAAATTCGCCAAATTGTTTAATCCTGAAGTTTTCTAGGACAAGGTTTGTTCTTTCAGTACATCCTTCATAGATCCATTCCTGGACAAAGAACCTTCAGACCCCTCGCATATGGCCTTCGCCTGTTTCTGCATCTCATCCAGGCCTTCGCATATGGCCTGAAGCTTCGCGTCAACGGAGGAATGGAGCGGCTTGTACGCGGCCTTGTCGTACGCCAGAGCGGCTTCCTCGGCGGTGTCTAATGTTCCCAGCCAGAGCGTGGTCCGATTCTTGGGGAGTCTGATCTTAGCATGAATAAATTATATATTGAAAGGTGTTGAATAAATAGTAAATATTTTACTTATAATGAAATAAATCAATCATTCAAACACGCAGAATTGAACAAAAATGAATAGCCAGCACTGCCAAGTTGGAAGGAGTGAACCAGTAACCCCACTGGTAGCGGATACAGCAAATCCATACCCACATCATCAACATACCAAATTTAACTAAAAACAATGCTTACAAAGAATATGCGACGAATACATATCAACATTAAACAAATCAAGTAATTTAGCATGGCTTCTTCCCCAATGGTGTGGTATGCAGCAAGAGCAATCTTTCTCTGGAGTCCCCTTCGGTGATGAATTCTGGAGAAAGAATAAATCCCGGCACGGCATCTTCTAACTACATAGTACCCACTTCTATGCCTATTTACAGTAAGAATCTCAATTCGAAAACTGAAATTTGAAAACTTGCTTTCAAAATACAACTCCATCCGAATCAATCTTCCAAAACCCAGGTTCTCGTGGAACTTCTTCTTCTACTGAAGAGCGAAGTTGAAAGGCTACGACTTGTAGTCAAAGCCCCAATTCTCCCAAACCAATTCCGGAACATTCTGCCAATTCCACCTCGACTTTCCCTCACTCTCCCTCTTCCAACTGACAGAGAGATTCTCCTAGAACCTTCGCTCAAATTCCCACCATTCTCCATCTCCGTGTACACCACCGGCAAGTGGCTCTCACCGGCGAACCTACCCACGGCGAATCCGCCGCCAGGCAGCCTCCATATGGTCAACCCTACCGCTTCCTCTTCGATCTGGCCAGCAACTCTGCTCTCCGATGACGCTTGCTCCGACGGCAGCTCGTGGCGGCACACGGCTTGAAGAAGATGAACCACAGAAGACTGAAAGCTTTGAAGAAAACGGAGAAAGAGAAAAAAATATCTGTGAAGGCCTCTCGTCATTCCTGGTTCTGCCATGTATTAAGCTCAAACTCTGCCACCTGACTCAGCATGCCACCTGTTTAACATAAACCGCAAATATAGGGACCTCCGAACCTATTAAACTTTTTTTTATTACCCTCATCATTCCTTCTCATCAGTTAAAGTAACTAAAAATCCAATACCATTACTTGGAGTTTCTTAGTTAATTGTGAAAATATCTAAATATTGACATTACTTAACGAACAAAACGAAGAAATAAAATAGTCTATTCAGATTTCATATTTTATTGAAACTAATCCAAATCCAACTGAAGTTTACTCATATTTGGATAATCTAACTTTTATGCTTAAAAATTTAAACAAACTGTGGAGTGCTCATTCTTGTTTCTTCTTCTTCTTCTAAATCATTCCTTAACTCAAATGCATGTATGTTTATTTATCTTAATTTTAATTTTTAATTAATTAAATAATTTTATAATATCTTAAATCAAAATCACGATATGAATTCAACTGAACCAAATTCACTGACGTTACTCGCATGTCATACACTGACTTAGATACATTTTTTTTATAAAATATGTATTAAGAAAGACAGATAAGTTGTTGATAAAGTGTAACCAAAGTAGAAAGTAGCATTCTTATTATACTAGCTTACTGCAGTAGAATAACCACAACAGTTTGATTGAAGCCACAAGTTGTAAAGCAAATGCTGAAGCTTTAGATGGAATGCTTCAAGTAAGGTGTTGCTATGCGACCACTTGCTCCTTTAGGGTAGAAGCCACCAGGAACATGTTCATCACCTGTTCCATATATTATCCTCAATATTTCCTCTGGGGTTCTTGAATATGCCAATGAATCTCTGTCACCAGCCAGAATGTTTCCATTAACTTCCGTCTCAGCACCATACTCCTTAGCAACCACAAGACCCTCATCTTTCAAACCTGCTTTTCCTAGCTTGTTCCTGAGACTTGAAATGCGATCTGTGAACTCTCCCACGCTCAATCCATAGGGATGCACCGATTGCGTTTTCCGTTCATACAAAAATGCTCTTATAGCTGCATCTTGTCCTGATTCTACTCCCAGGAGCCCTGCCACAAGCTGTTCGTGTGCATGCACATATTGTCATTGTGAGAGACATAGAGTAATAATAAGAATGCAGTTAGTGGCATCTTCTATAATAAGAAAAGAAATAAGGCAGATTGTGTAGAATAAGAGTGACTACATCTAAACTCTAACACATGAGAATGATTAACAGTGCAGGGTTTGAGAAATTACCTTCCTGGAAGTAGCATTTTGCAGCTTTGGATTGGCACCAACATAGCCAGTGAGGCCAACATAGGGAATAACGTAAGAAGCAAGAAGAAAGTTGATTGAATTAGCATAGGGGTCAAAGGGTGGACTCAGAGTTCTCCCAACCGCATTATCCATTACTTTGGCAAACGATGAAGGGCTTAGATCCAGCAGAGGCCTGGGGAATCCTTTCACTGTGCTCTTTATGGCCCTGCAACAAATTAGACTCAACAACACATCGCAAATCTTCTGCATAATTTTTCATTTCTTGCCTTGAAAGTATAATTATAACTGCAGAGAGTAGTAGTTAGAGATAGAACAAAACCTCAAGTGTCCGACTTCTTGCAAACCAAACTGCAATATGACATCCTTGAAAAATTTGTCAAGTTTGGCAGCTTTGGCACCGATGGGAGGAGGTCCTCCCCCGGCCAGGTTTGGAGCAACCACATCCAATCCATGACCCAAAGCTCCAAACAAGAAGAACTCAGCCTCCAAGTATTCTAAGTTCAGAGGGAATTCTAAAAGATCAACATCTGATTTTGGGGCTGATTCTCTTGCAATGAGCACAGAAGAAGAAGAAGAACATTCTGGGAAAAACAAGGGAAGGACCAGGGAAGCAACCAAAACAGAAAAAGAGACTCTGGAAATGCGAGGTGCCATTTCAGGCTTTTTTCAAAGTGATGATGCAGATGCCGATGATCCAGACACCCTTATATAAACCCTTTCGTTTCATGCAGCTGTACAAGAAAATGATACGTGTCAAGGTGTGCAACTTTCTCTAACTTTTGGATTTGCTACGTGGGATGATCCTGGCCACGTGGGTTTTGTACATCATATAGGTTTGCGTGCTTAAATATGTGTTGTCTTTTTTGGAAAAACCAAACCGTCTCCTTCTCTGTACCTGAATTGTGCATGCTTGTGGTACCATGTTTAGTCCTCTTTTGGTTCTTGCTTTAGTTTCAGTCAGAGTAATATCACGTACCATATATTACATTCATTTCACATAAATTTTTGTATTTAAAAAAATAAAAGATAATGTGAAATGAATATAAAAAATTTATGTGTGAAATTATTATTACAATAAATCATGCCTAACTTTTTATTGACTAAATTACGTAAACTTATAATCAAGAAATCCTTTATAATCACGTAATCGCGCAAAGTTGCACTAATCTTGGAAACAAAATGAAAAAACATTCAGTTATACTAACAAAGAATGAAAAGTCCACAAGTCGACCACCCATTGTAAAAGTTTTAATCTTCAAATTTTTCGAAAATTCAATCTTCAATCAACCCACACAAAATTCTATTTTCCTACTCTTTTCAATCTTCACAAAATAAGACATTTTCCACCTCAATAACACAACTCACGCGATATCCAACTAAACTCAAAATGTTGCATATTAACCATGTTTTGCTTTGTAGTTAATCGTTGCAACAGTGTTAACAGATGGGACCACATTAACTCTTCGTACCAAAAGTAAGAATTACAATAAAAAAATTAAAACCCAGGTTGAATAATTATGAAAATAAATTGTGATAAAAAAATCATATTAACCTTTTATTATAACTTGATTTATACTTTTACTCAGTACGTACTCCTTCTCGACCATTTATATATAAATAAAAACTAGTATAAATATATACTTTATATTTACATATTATTACTAGTATAAATATATACTTTATATTTACGTATTATTACTAATATAAATCAATTATTCAAACAAAATGTAATACTAAAAAAATAGCAATCAAATCAAACAAAACATTTCAAATTAGAATTTTGACAATTTAAAACTTATATTTAGTTTTTTTATAATTTAAAATATTTGTGTTTAGATGAGAATTATTTATTACACAAGCATAAGGAAGAAAACACTAAAAACACAACATAATAAATGTACTTATAAGTTTAATTCAGTTTTACAAAATTGATTCTTTTAAAGTAAATTTTACATTTATATATATATATATATATATATATATATATATATTATAAATTGATCTTATCTCTAGTTGGTGTAAGACTTCAATATATCTCTTTACATAGAGGTATATATACATTGAGCTTGAACTAAACACTAATGGATGATTTGATAACGAGTGGAACAATAAACCTAACAAACAACAAGTTTTGTTAAGATAAGCTCTAATCCAAGAATTTGATATCATGTTAAGAAATAAGGGTGAAAATATGGGTTAACCCAACTCGTTTAAGCCCACCGCACACTTGGTATGCAATATGTGGGTCAAACAGTCCGCCTCACATTGGTATTAGCCCATGCACCTGTTGCGAGAAGAGATGCATTGTTACGAGAAGAGATGAACTACTACGAAAAAGACAAAGGAGAACAAAGAAAGGTGAGTGAGAGAGGTTGTTGTGTTGCAAGAAGGACAAAGGAAAACAGATAAACAAACCTGAGTAAGTGAGGAGGGGAATTGTGGGAAAGCGGGCAACCCGCCTTACTTCATCCTAAGCTTGGACTGGCTAAAGATTAATTATACGAGTCGAGCTTCTAGGGGCTAACAGGCTCAAAATCTCAATCTGCTTGTGTTTTTTTATTGTAGACAAACTAGCTCACGTGATCTGTCTCGCATTGTCACTTCCATTAAGAAGTTAACTTTAAGTTTAACTCAATTTTCCAAAATCAGCTTGTATTATAAATCAGTCTTATCTTTAATCAATAGAAAACTTTCACCAAAAATTCCTAAAATTATAACAAAACATAAGTAAATCAACCAAAATAATCCAATCAATAAAGTTAACAAAACTTTAAAAAACTCACAAATAAAAGAATTTTATAATAAAAGAAAGGTTTAATGTCTCAATAGGTCCCTATTTTCACCTAGAATTTGAAATAGGTCCCTTTCTTTTTCGGCATCTTAATTGAGTCCTTATTTTTGTAAAATTGAATCAAATAGGACCTTTCCGTCAAATTGAAATGACGCCGTTATTATTTTCACCCAGAAATAAAGCATATTCTTCTTAACGGCGTCATTTCAATTTGACGGAAAGGTCCTATTTGATTCAATTTTACAAAAATAAGGACTCAATTGAGATGCCGAAAAAGAAAGGGACCTATTTCAAATTCTGGGTGAAAATAGGGATCTATTGAGACATTAAACCTAAAAGAAAAACCGTTATTCAAAAATTGATTACTTGTAAATGACACATGTTAATCACTTTTCTAAATGATTAAATATGTTGAAGAAAAGGATAAAAAAATATTTTAGAGTTACTTTTATTAAATGACTATAATTATTGCTTCGTTTATATAATATAATTATGCAGGTTGGTCCTTCTTTAAATCAGATAGTTTTATCAATCATGAAAGGACTTCAAAGAGTAATTTTTTCTCGAGTTATTGCATACTCTTTTTTCAATTTTACTCTTTAATTAAATATTTTTTAAAATTAAAATATATTTTTTTTATCAATTTTCCTTTTTTTTAAGTAATTATTTCTTTAATTTTATGTTTTTTTTTCATTTGACCATTTTTTAATTTAACTATTTTTAATTATAAAATTACTTACAAAATAAATAAAAACTATTTACAATAAGTTACAAAAACTACTTTAATTTTATAATAATATTTTTATTATCATAAAAATATTTGAATTTACCTAAAGAAAATTCTTATTTTTTATCTTTACATTTGTTTTACTATTTTACCTTTTAAATTAATTTTTAAAATTAAAATAATTATTGTATCAATTTTATTCGTGATTTTATTTTTTAAAATTTAAATGTTTTTTTAGATTTGATCTTTCTTTAAACTTAATCATATTTTTAATTAAAATTACTTATAAAATAAATAATAGTTATTTATATTAAAATTATAAAAGTTATTTATATTTAATTTTATAATAAGGATGATAATTTCATTATTTTTTATTGTCATAAATACAGTAAACACACATAATATATGTGTTTTTATTAGTATATAATAAATAATTTTGATTGTTTGTATAATTATAGTTTTAATTATTAATCTTATTTAGAAAAACATTGAAATTTAAGCTGTAGGGAAAATATTTAAAATGATAGATTAAATGAGACAACAAATTAAGAAAATAATTAATTATACAAATAATAAATTATAACGAGTATTAATTGATAAATCTTACCGTTTTCTATCATTTGTCTCTTAACTCAATATTTCAAATATTAAAATCATATTTGAAATGCAAAAATTAGAAAAATATAATATCTAATATACTGTTATGAATAAATGATTGTTAATTAATTTGCAACCATTAATTAATTACTTTTTTACAAGATTTAACTATTTCTAATTTGAGTTTATTCTTGGGTTATAAATAAAATTCTTCCTCCAAAAAAAAAGATACACAAAATTAACTTTTATTATCTCTTATAATCTTTAATTTTTTTTTCTCTTTATTATCAACATTATTTATAAAATATATTTCTTAATAAGATAACTAATCGTAAGATTTTCTTCTTAAAATGCTAAAATTTTAAATTTTCACTACTTTATAAGAAATTATATTAAATAATATCGATTGAACTCAATTACTTTTTAAAAAATTTATATTATTTTAAAAATATTAAATAAATATTTAAAACTTAAAAAAGTACTTTTCTTTCTCAGAACAGTACATGAAACCCTGTATATATTTCACGCAACCGGTTGCAGGTATAGTAGTATCACAACCGTTAATTATAATATATAAATATATATCTAACGGTTCCAGATCGAATTTCATCCGTGTGTCACATTCCGGAGATTCCACCCTGTATCTTCAAGTTTTGAAGATCTGTTAAAATTGACAAGAAAGAAAGGGCTAAGGAGTAAAAGGGTGGTGTAAAGTGTGTGTTTTCTGCGCGCACAGCATCAATAACAATTTCTCAAACAGCGTCGCAGAAGGTAAAGGTTTTTAGGTTGTTCGTTTTTTAAATCTGGTATCGTTGTTTTTGTCAATCTCTGATATTTCCTTCCATCGGATTTCATTCGCAATTTCGATTCAAATAATGGCAATTTCCGGTCGATTTTTGCTGGTTATTAGGAGACTGCCTTATGTATGTGTGACGGTTCTGTGCTGAACTAAATTAATAATTTCTGGTTAAGTGTTGCCGTAGGACAAAGCTGACGCACTTGATCGGGATTTACTTCCTGCATCTCGCTGAGACTTTCGCATTGGTGTTTGTGTGAGTTGCGGGAGTCTCTGTAGCTGAATGTTTGATTTCAATTCTCTATGTTAGCGCTTAGCAAGTATTTTAGCTGAACTACATAGGCCACGAAACCCTAAATTGTAGCTTTTAATTTTATTAAATAGCCGTTATCTATTATTTTGTTTTTGTTCTTGACAGTTTGTGCATTATATGATATGATATATACAAAGATATATATGTTTATCCTTTTATTCTGTTAATTTTTCTATGGGGTTGAAATTTTACTTGAACACGGGAGTTTATGTGCCAATTTTGAATGTTCAGGTGGGACGGGCAGCATTGAGGTATACTGAAATTTGATACTAAACAATTTGGGGATTTTGAGAGTTATTATAGTTGGCTTTTGGGACGATTTGAGTTCCAGTTGTTTAATTTTAATTTTGTTTTCCCCTTTTTTGTGAGTCAAGCGACCTAGTTGTTAGTGACGCAACTAGTTAGGTCAGTGGTCGAGAGTTTGTGGCTCATCTTCTTTACATTCGACCATCCCTTTGAAATTACCTGTTGTTAACCTCAGCGTACTCTTGGATATTGAATTCAGAATTCAACTGCATGATTTAATATGTATTATTTCTACCAAAAATCATTTGACTCTGTTTCTATTTACAGAAACACATTACACTAGGCAGATAGGTATGGCTGTAGGTGGGATGGGCAGCATTGAGGTATGCTGAAATTTGAAGCTAAACAATTTGGGGATTTTGAGAGTTATTATAGTTGACTTTTGGGACGATTTGAGTTCCAGTTGTTTAATTTTAACTTTTTTTTTCACCTTTTTTGTGTGAGTCAAGCGTCCTAGTTGTTAATGACGCAACATAGTTAGGTCAGTGGTTGAGAGTTTGCGACCCATCTTGTTTACGTTCCACCATGCCTTTAAAATTACCGGTTGTTAACCTCAGCAGAATTGCTCTTGGATATTGAATTCAGAACTCAACTGCATGATTTAATTTGTATTATTTCTACCAAAAATCATTTGACTCTGTTTCTATTTACAGAAACACATTACACTAGGCAGATAGGTATGGCTGTAGATTCAGCTTCATCAGAGAAGAAATCAAGCAATGCAGTGAATGAGTTGCTGACTTTTAATGCTGAGAATATGCAAAGCAACATGAAAACTATCTATTACAGGTTTCGTTTGACTGTTGGTTATGAACACTATTTTGAATACATAATTTAGCTTGAAATGTTATATTTGGTTTGGACCATGGAACTGAAGGGTTTTTTTTCCCTTTTTCTCTTCACCTAATTATGGAACATGGCGAGTTACCAAGCTGTTTGGGGTGTAAGTTTTAGTATGGGTGGAGTTGTTTGATTTTATCTGTATGAAATAGTCATCTGAGTTCATGGTATATAGATGGAGAAAAAGGGAACTGGTTGGAGGTATGAAAACAAACACCAATATAATGTCCTCTAAGGTATACAATTGAATCTTTTTCTCTTTTGCAGCCGAACATTTTTATCTATAATTGGTGGAGTTGTTGCGGGTATTTTGGGATTTACAGGCTTGAAAGGATTTGTGTTTTACTTACTTCTCATGGCACTTACTTCACTTGGGCTCATTGCGAAAGCAAGTTTTTCAACCCACACATACTTTGACTCCTGGAATCGAGTGCTACTTGACGGCTTTCTTGGTGGCTTAATGGTATGTTGTTTATGTTCATTTCATCTTTCTTTTTGCTTGGTGTATGGGACAGTTTATTTTTTACTAAAGAAGAAATTATTTTGGATAAGATGGTTAGAGGCGAATACAACAAAAGAATGAATATCACATGAAAGAAAGGCACACAGTTTAGATTAGCCGAATTTATGAAGCATGTATACTAATGATACCCTGTAACCCAGCTAATGAGGAGAACTGCCATCTGCTAAACTTAAGCTCTAAATCAATGCAAGTGTAGGAAGATCTTTTCCCTAGAAAAAAAATAAACATTGTTTTTCAGCCAGAGACATCAAGGAATAGCATACCTAGTGTACTACCAGAACACATAAGCTTTATAATACTGATGCTCTCAAGCCAAACCTCTGAAAGAATTTAATTAAAAGAAAATGCTTCAACACTAAAGGTACACGTACACTAAGCACTCACCAAAGATACACTTGCTGATTAGCTGTTCAGTAATGAAATAAAACAAAGAAATATTATAGAATTTTTCAAAGTTGGAGTTTCACATGACATATTTGGAGGCAAAAGCTTTGTTGGGTATCTGTAACATATCATTAGAATTTAGAATTGATCTTGTTGAACAATGCAGTCCAATAGCTCCTTGATGTTTCTGAAATTGCATACTAGACTAGCGTTTTATGTTATAATAATGAAATTTTTGGATAGGTCTATATATTGTCTTACTGGTCTTATTTGACCGGTTCAACCTTTGATCATAAGATTATGTTGGGGTTTTTCTTCTCTCTGTGATGTTTAGCACTTTTGAATGTGTTCAGCATTATAACTTTCCTTTTTATACTTCTGCAGTCGTTCGTGCTTTTCTGGACGTATCCTTCTCTTTAATAATACTTTGGTGGTGATTTATGACTGAATACTGGTTTAATTCAATTCAATAAATTTTCTCAAAAAATAGAGCACTTTTTTGTCCTCAACTGTACATAATGGGATAAGATTTTCTGAATTTAACCAGAGCATAATTTACAACTTCCAAGTTTGAAAAACAACTTGATTTGGTGGGGAGTGGGTATTTTCGTAATTTCAAGTTTTAGTAACAGGAATAACTGCCAAATGTTGAGTAAAACTAGAGAAAATTTCCGAGTTTCTTGAGGAGCAGTTCCCGTGTTAACTCAACTTGTTCTATGTTTGTTCTAAACTGTGGTTGCTCGAGTTTGGCAGTCAATAAAACACAACATTGTTCTTAACTTGCTGTGTACATCTCTTCTGTCGAAATTCTTGCCATTATGTTGTTCTTTGACAAAATAAAGATTTGCCTATGACATTGTCCACATATTTTGATGGATGGAATGTGCAAGTGTTTCAAGTGAAGACTATTTGGACACCTCTAGCTCTTACCGATCCTTACTGGAATACAGTTGCATTCTACAATTACTAGATAGCTTTTGATGATATTCTCGTTTCTAAACTGAGGTTTACTACCAGAGTTTTGTCTGTTTATGTATTATTTACAATAGTATCTCAAGTGAGAAGGAGGCTTAATGCCGTCCATTATTTGTGGTTGTCAGATTGGCTCTAGGTTATTGTTTTTGAAGTTTGTTTCCTTATATAGATTGCAATTTCGTCAAATTTTATTTTAGGCTTATTGAAATGTTAGACTTCTGGTTTTTCTTTAATAACGGAAGTGCGAATTTAATTTTGTAAATTTAATCTAGATTTTAATTATTATATCAAAGTCGTTTCTTGTTTTCTTTCGCGTAAATCTTCCCATTTTTTTTTAATTCAAAACATTCACAAATTAATTTTATGAAATGGTTGTGAATATAATGCTCAAAATGTATTGCTTAAAATATCAATCTTTCTATGAGATTGAAGCTTTCTTCTTGTCACTAGATCGTTTAAGTTTATAATATTTTTTGGTTAATTGCCCACTTTAAACGTTTGAAGTTCTTTTTTTATCTTGAATTTGTCATGATTCTTTAATCATCTCAAAAGAACGAGATTTTAAAGGTGTTCTCAATAAAAAAAATTGGGCTCGTTTGCTTGCTAAAGTTTATCATTCTTCCGCGTTCTTTTTTGCGTCGATAAAGTATAGAAAGACATCATGATGAGTGTTATTGTCTTTTGTTTTGGATTAGGGTTCGAGGTTAAGTTTCTATACGAATAACCTTCATATTATAAGCTTAGTTCAATGTTTTATTCTTTGGTTTTCTTTTTCTTTTGGTAGGATTGAAAAAAATATTTCGATATTAAAGTTAGTGTTTGATCAGTAATAAAAAATGCATAATAAAAGTAATTTACTGAATGTCAAATCTATATTTATAGATTGAGATGAGTTTTTAATTAGTATAATTTAATTATGATCTAATTTTATAATAACTGAAATTAGGATTAATATGATTATTCTTTTTGTTAATCTTGTTTGTGGTTTTCCTATAGTGAAACAAGGTGTGTAGACGGCTTAATCTATGATTAACCGGGTAATTATACTGTACATAACTTCCTATAGTGAAACAAGGTGTGTAGATGGCTTAATTTATGATTAACCGGGTAATTATACTGTACATCTTTGATGTTTCGACCATAGAATTTATGACCAAAATTTAAATATTTTAAATGCCCCGTACTGCTTAAAAAGCTAATTATACTTTAAGGATTTTTTTGGCAGTTTTACCTAATTATTTCGTTGGATTTGTAAAATTGCACAACGAAAATGGTGTTAAGCTGTGTGTTTTAATTCTCAAACTTTGAATTTGATGAGTAATGCAAAAGGACGCACGTAAGATGAATGTTTTTTAATGATTTTACAAGAGGAAGGTAAGAAATGAATCCATGTGACATAATCAGAAGGTTTGAGAGAAACATGTGAAAGTCACTGTACTTAGATGGCCTGCCAGTCCACATAGAAAGCGCAGATACCTACTGGTCCAAATAAAGATATGATATTATAAGTATTACTGGTATTTATTTTTAATTAAAAAATTATTTTACAAATATGATTTTCATGCCTATAATTACAATTTATTGTGGTTAATATAAGTAGAATTTAGTTTTAATCTTTTAAATAAAATAAGGCGTCAAATTTGAATTTTTATAAATATAAAAATATAATTTAAAAAGGAAAATTGATTAACTCAATGTTGGCACGATTGACTTATAAAAAGGGAGTCCAGGCATGGATGCGTGGAAGGATATAAAAAGAAGGTTAAAATTTGAACTAAAAAAATGAGAAATTCATGTTATTTTTTCATGGAATTGTATTATAGAAAAAAGAATGATAACATGTTTGAGTGGAGAGTGTAACAGTGGCAGGTGACTATGTTTATTTCGGTTTGATGTAAAATTTCATTCATATTTTATCTTTAAAATTTGATGGGTATTAAATTATAAATAAAACTAAAAATGGGAGAGAGAAATACTTATTATAAATTTTGATATAGCTATGTCAGTACATAAAAAATATGTTGCTAATATTTTTCATTTCAGTAGTACCGAAGATGGAAGGAAAAGTAAAAGGTGTAAATTAAAATAACCTACTTTATATTTTAAATGTAATGTATATTTGGGCAACAGAGCCTTTTTATGTAGACAATATTATCAATAACATATGGAAAAGTATACTCACGATTATCACGTAATTAAAAGAAAAAAAAATCTGGGGAGTGGAATTTTGGGTTTAACACGTGTTAAATCATGTTTGTGTAGTTCCTATATACGCCCCCACACATAAAAGAAGACTAATAAATGCTCAACATCACAATCGAAAGTGAAATTGTAAGGGAAAAGGATAAGAGGGAGAATAAGAAAAGGGTAGAAGAGGAGAGGAGGATGTGGTGGTGGTACACGTCAAGTTTCCGGTGGCCGGATTTAAACCTTTCGGTGCCGTGGTCGATTTTCAGGTGGCCGGAGTTAAGCCTTTCGGTGCCGTGGTCCATTTTCCGGTGGCCGGCGTTGGACTTTTCGTATTGGAACGTAGAAGGCGTGATTCAGTGGAACTTGTCGTTGGTTGATGACGTGTTATGGGCCTTGATTACGGGCCTTGAGTCCATAGCTTTGGTCGCCTTGCTCTGCTACTTCTTCGTCTGTTGTGGTTGTACTCTCTAATCTAATTCTCATTTATTTATTTTGTTTTTCTCTCTATATATATTTTATATTTAAAAAATGAATTGTAGTTAATATATTTCTAAAGTTGATTGTAGCGGAATTTTATCCTTTTTATATGTGTTGTTGTGCTGTGAATTTGGTAGCTTTGATAACTTTTTGGGTTGTTTTGGTTCTGCTTGATGAATGACAAACGGATAAAACCAGTTCTTTAATGAGTTTCATTTTTTTTTTATTTCTTTGAATGTGCTTGATTATTACAGTTTCAGCAGACATTGTCATATTAATATTGCCACTATAAGTTTATTGATTTTATTATACTTATAATAAAAGTTACATTTGCAATAGTTTATAATTGATTGATGAAGTAGGATCAACACACCACCTTACTAACACTGACATTTATTTCCGCAAAATAAAATTTTAGTTTATCATCTAAATTTTAGGTTTTTGATTTGATTTTCTATATTTTTTTTAAAAAAATCATTTCTCAAAGAAAAATTACGTGTTTTGTTTGTCAAAAATGTTTTCGTTACAATTACATATATATTTAAATATTACGTAACTTTAATGGTTATACCTATTTGTATTATAATTGATGTGTTTAGTTAGTTTGTAGTGTTTATCTGCAAACTAAGCTCCACCTCATAATTAAAAATACTCAAAACTTCTAGATTCCTTGCGTTTTTTTTTTCAACGTTAAATTTAACGGACTTGTCACATCCAATTTTTTGCCCTGAAGTAGGCACCATACCGAATTTTCTGTCGGCAAAAATCGTGTGTGAAAAAACTTAATCCAAACTAAGCACATTCACTGTGATTTCTTCTTTCAATAAATAATACTTATGATGTAGTATTTATGGCAAGTGTAAAATAAAAAAAATTAAGGTAAAAATAATATATAATTATTTAAATTTGAATTCTCACTTTTCCAATCGTGAATATCGCATTAACATGTATTTAATTCTATGTAGTATTAGTCAATATTTTTTAATTTTGTTTATTATAAAATTAAAATAATTTGATAGATTTTTTTGAATGAATATAGTTGTACTGATTGAATTATATTTTTAATATTTTAAAAATATTAATTTTTTTATATATTATTCTTAAAGTATTGTGCTGGCTAACCTTATTAGGAGATTATATAAATGTTTGGTAAATGAGATTCGTCGGATTACTTTAATATTATTTATTATTATTATTATTTATTAATTATTACTATTATGGTTTTAGTTCATAAAAATGAAAGGATTATATTTCAAAAAAAAATTAAATAACATTTTTAATCTCAAAAAGTGGGGACCTTTTTATTTTACTATTACAAAATTGCTGATTTCTAATGTTCAAATTAATAAGGAAGTAATAAAATTAGCATGAAATTTGGTTTTGACGTTGCAAATCCTGATCTACCTCTTCATTATTCTCCAAATATTAATATAGTTTCTAGTACGTATCGTATGTGGTAGTATATGGAAAACTTTTTTAAATCCAAAAAAAAAAAAAGAGTTAATGTTGGGAATCACACATTTCAATTATGTTATTAAAAATCTATTAATAATTTGTCTTCACCTAAAATTTTATTAAAAAATTAAAATGCAAAATACAAAACATGAAAAATTATAATAAATTATTGATAGAAACTACACTCTACCATAAACCAATTATACTTATTATGAAAAAAATAAACTAAATAAATATATTGATGAAAAACGTCAAATTAATAATTTTTCCTTTTACAAAAATACATATCATCTTTTTATAAAATTACAAAAAAAATCACTTATTAATCCAAAAAATCTAACATATTAAAAATTATTCACTTTCCAACTAATATCTCTAAAAGTCTTTTCTTTCAAGCATGTTCCAAATCATAAATGATGTCCATAAACTCAACATAAATATAAATATGCATTCATAAAAAGCTAAAAACTATCTACATATTCATCTAACTTTCTTTAAAAATATTAATACATGAAACCATATTAGAACAACTCTTAATTAGACTATTAATATTTACTTTAAGCTAATTTGTAGATGAAACTTGTCATATTTAAAGTTTACATATGTTTTTGAAAATATTTTTATTCTACTCTTTCAAACCATTATAACACTGCAATTTCCTTTGCATAATCAACCCAAAATAACAAAAAAAGTAAGAACATTCAAAGAACTATTAATAAAGGAACGACAATCTAGATGATACATTCACAACTTTAGAAAACGAAAAGAGGATGATTCAAAAACTTAGAATAAGAAAGAAAAAAGACATATGAATGATAATTGAAATAGTTTCGAGATAGAATTGATTATCAATAATAAAAAAATTGATAAGTACTTTGATGGGAAAGTGTAATGACAAATAAAAACAATATATGAATCGGAGTCATTAGTCAATCTTCACTCACATTATCACTTTATGAATGAAAAGATGCAAACTGATTATGAGAGGAAAACATAGAAGTAAGATAAAACGAAAATAAAAAGATTTTTTATCTCTGCATCCCTGTAGGATACGCAATGCTCGATACTCTAACTTTGT